GGCGGCCGGGCCAACTGCTTCCTGTGTGTCATGGCCACGGGTCCTGCTCCAGCTACTGTTTCCCAGGACCTTGCTTCGACCCACTCTCCCTGCCACTGCCATCGCCTTGTGCGGTTATTGCGGCGAAGAATGGCGGCCGGAAGTACACGTTGACAAGTCGCACTTCGTACGGCGGACAACTTCCGGCGGCGGCTTTCGGTTCCCCCTACCGTCCTGGCTCTCCTTTCCGTCTCCCAGCTTTCGGTTTTCGGTTTTATGAACTTCACATGACCGGCGGGCGGTCGGTTGGACACCTTCGGTTCCGTCCACTTGCCACTTTACCCTCCTCTACACCCACAGCCAGCTATGGCCACCTCTGCCTCTGATCCAGTTTTCTGTGACCTTTTCCCTTGGCCAACCGCCACCGCATGTGCGTATTTGCATGGAACAGAGGCGAGTTTAAGACCGTTTATTGTTGGTGTTGCAATGCTTGTTTATGCCCCAAAAGTGTGCTTGATTACACTGAGAAAAGTAGCTAACAGTCTGTGATTTTAAGGGATTCTTCCAAACCAGGTCTTAATACTTTATTTTAATTAACATTTTACTCTTTACGACTGCCTTAGGTAAAACCTTTCGGAAACCAATATTATCTTTCAGTGTAGTACCGTATGTGTGGTTATGTAAATGTCTGCTGGCTTAAGCTAACTTTAAATTACGCTTAGCGACTAAAATTAATTTACGCAACGCCACGAGCACGAAAACAACAAAAGGCAGAACAACAACGGGCAACGCCAACGGCAACGCCAACAGAAAATGTGCAAATGTGGCAAATGGATGGGGCAAGAACCGCACTTGGGGCATGGCCGCCACATGGCGCGGCACTAACTAAGCCTCTTTTGGGGTTTGTGCATTGCATTTAGAAAATCTGCAAAATCTGTGTCCTAGGTCGTAAAGTCAATTAATACGTCGCGGAAAGTGAAAATCATTAAAAGCGTTTGTTGAAAGGAGCTTTTAATATTTTGGAAATCGCGTGGCAAGTTCTCAATGGTTTTTGGGGCTTTGAACAGAATGCGCTAGTATTGATTGAACTGAAATATAAATTATAATGGTAGTATCATCGAGCCTTCCTAATAACCCCAATTTGTCTTTGTAATTTTGGCAAATTGCTTATTTAAAAGTAATTGATTTCACCCGTCCACTTCGCCACTTTGCCAGTTGATCACTTGACCTGCTTATTTTCAATAAGTTTTGGGAATCCATCAAACTTCTAAATTGCCCAGCTCCATCAACGGGGCTCAGATCACGTTGGTACCATCCAATAAATGATGGATGGATTGAATTGGATTGGTTTGCTTTCTGGCCCTGACCACTGGCCGATACTTGGTTTTTTTTTTTTGTATTTTATATCGTTTCCCTTATTTTTTGCGGTTCCCCGCCCTAAAATTGTCATTTTGATGACCTTAACAACCTCGCTTGTACCCCAAACCCGCATTTTATTTCCTCTGACTGCCTGTTTGTTGAATGATATTGGAATTTTGTGTTTTGTTATGTTCTGTTGTGTTGTGTGGCTGCCTCTTGTTGTTTAAGTGCCGCAAACATTTCGCTGTTGGAGCGTGGAAAACAATCAGAAAAAACGAAAAAAAAAGAAATTTGCTTTTCACTGAACAGATAGCAAAAAAAAAAATTTCAAACAATAAAAAATCAAAAGCATGAAGAACAAGCCGAAAAAAAACGGAAAAGCTTCCGCCACATCAGGAGGCATTTTTCAATTGTGTTAAAAGAAATTTAATATGAAACTCATGTTGTCTATCGATTTTTAATTTCGGTTTTCTACAGCATCCATTCGGCCGCCACTGGGCGCCTTTTCTGGGACTTTGTTGTGGTTTACTTGTATCAGAACAATATATGATGATACTTCCAAGGACAGGGACTTATGTGATTGATTATGGCAGCAAAAATATTTAATTTTTAATCATGCATTGTAATCCAAAATATAATGATAGAATCAAGTAATTTTCCTAATGAATTTATATTTCAAGCTTTATATTAATTTTTTTGATATATATTATATAAATAGATGTATAATATTTGGCTCTATATGTATCGACTTAATTTTCCTTAAACTTCCCCTAGTTGGTGGCACCTTTTGGTCCTTTTGTTATTTGTTTTTCTGTTGGGTAGGGCCCTCCTCTGCTCAGCTGACACATTTCGCATTTCGGGTGATGGATGTGCGGCAATAATTTCTGCTATTTATGCAAACGTAGCTTGTTGTTATCAATGGATGGACTTTAGCCCCCACAGCACCACTCTAACCTCTAATCTCTCCCATACCGCATGTCCCCCAGTAACCAGTTTCATGTTACCAGTTTGCCTTTTTATGCGGGTCAACATTTAACCTTTACCTTGCCAGCAGACATACATCAAAATCCGCAGATCAAATGCTGACTTTTTCAAAGGGGGCTGGCTGCAGGCTGGGGCCTGGAAACGGCAACACGTGTGTTGTTTCCAAACCCGTTGCGAATCCCCACAGTCGCGACATCTATCGGCCGATATGGAAATATATATATCCCGATGGGTATGTGGATGTGGGTCCTTGCTGCTCTCCACTTATGCAAATTGAAATGCAAATAAGCCATGCCGACTGTATAGGCGTTTTATGTTCAAATCTCCCTTAAAAGTCGCCTTGCTTTTGTGTTTCCCATTTGTGTATTTTGTATTTTGTTATGGCACGCTTTATTGAATTCATTTAAAAAACAATTTATCTTTTTCTGGTGCTGCTGTTGGTGCTACTGCTACTGCCACGGCTGCTACCGTTGGGAAACTTTTGCCTGGGATAACAGAAAATTTTCCTGTATTTTTTTGTATTTTCCATAAAACGGAAAAAATCTTGGATCAGAAAAGAGGAAAAAAGAAACGGAGCCGGGAAAATTTTTGAGCCTGTATGGAGTTGCAGGGAAAACTGCCTTGCCTTTTGTCTAACATTCCAATTAGCCTTTTGTTTCGATGTCAATGCAAAACAGGCAAACCCTTCATCTTTTTTTCACTATTTCTCCTATTCATTTCGAGTGCAAGCTGTGAGCATAAAAAATTGTAAAGATTTTTGTTCCGTCGGTCACGCCTTTTAAGGATCACAATTGCCTTTTGTGCACCGCCTCCTGTCAATGACTAAATGTATGGCTGTTCAGTGGAAAAACTGAGCAAAAAAATAAATAAAAAGCAATCTGATGGCCTTTTAACAACTCGAACTTGTTGGCTTTCCATTGCCCTAGGCAGTGGATGTTGCCTAATGGGCAGTTAGTTTGACTTTTCTTGACAAAAAGAACCTTTAACCATCGGGTTTTTCTTTAACAAAAACAAGAAATGGGTGAGATGAATGCTTGTGGTTGGAAATTTTATTTCTTTCAGGTTTCAGATGAGATTTTTGAGTTTTCTGTAAGAAATTGCTTTGTTATTTTATTCGTTAAGAGACTTATGGCTTGGATTCTATGGCAAAAATAAAGAAAATCAAAACAAACCTCTTGTGTGTATAACATTTTAAAGCCATCACTTTTACATACATCCCCAAATATTTTTATGGAACTGCGCCTGTTTTTTCCCACCAAAGGACTTAGACCATTAGTCTGGATCCTGGGACTACATAAATCAAGCAAATTGTTTAACGCGCGATTAGCAAAATTCTGTTATAATAATTCTTGTTGTATTTTTGGCAGTCGTGTTTGCTTCTTACACGTTTTTGGCATTTGCATGTTCTGCGGCTTTTCCTACTTAGCGAGAACATGCAGTACATGCTTTGGTATCTGTAGCTGTATCTGAATTTGTATATGTATCCAAGAGTATGTTTTTGAATCATTTATTTATTACTCTTGTCCTCTGGTGGTCTGTCGCCCTTCCCACCTTATAAGAGGCTCTTTGTCTGGCGTGTATTTTGAATGGCCTGTTGAAATTTTCCAAACGATTTGCAGCATACGCCGCATTGAATATTTTCCTGCCCTACCCAGCCCCATCTCCTTGGCCCTTTATGTTTTATTATTTTTGTTGTGTTCTTCGGCGCTTTTTGTTGTTGTTTATTCACGCTCAAAATACTGTGGAAAATGATTATTATGATTAATAAATAAATATGCCGGCAAAACCGAGCAACGCACTTTATTCAAACAGTTTGAAAAGTTCCACCACTTCCACCCAAGGACTTTAGGATTCAATCCGCACTCGTTTCCCTTTTCGCAAGAAGGGAGCCACCATGGCGGATACGCAATGTGTTACCAATATCCAAAGACAATGGGATAAGGCATGGAAATTAGCGAGAAAAATATATATCTATTCAAGTATGTCTCTAAGTTCCCTGAACTTTCTGTTATTATTCCTAAATTTTTAGCATACCCTTCACATTAGCAAAGTTTGTAACTTTTCAAATCACTTGTCATCCTTGGATCTCGATCTGTGTCTGCCCCCATTGTCGCAATGATGGCATAACAATAATTTTGTTTTCCAGCCTAGAATTCCTGGGCCAACAGCTGCGCCTGATGGCTCAGAAGGATGAAATGAAAGTGTGGGTGGACGGGTAGGTGTGGGCTCCCAGATGGGAAGCCATCAACTTGTTTGCACCACCCGGCCGATTGGACGATTGGTGGGGGTAATGAATTATCGTCAGCCAGATGAACATTTAATGATGTACAATGGCATCGATGACGTTGCGACGACATGGCCGCTCTTGGCGTTCTTGTACTCGTTGTCGTTGGTAATTTTAATAAATTTAACAGTTGAGAGAGCACGGGAGTTTCGAGGCGCATCTTTCATCTTTTATCGCGCGGAAAAACAATCCTTTGCGTCCTGGCAATTAAATAAATGTCCTCTCGCGCACTGGGAACAGCCTTTAACCTGCAGCCTTAACATCCTCGCTGTCATTGCTCATTGACAGCCATCAGGCATCAGCGTTGAATTTATGAGGCTGTCTGTGATTTATCAGCCCGTTGCACAAACACACGGCCAGGATGTACATTGTACATGTATACGGAGGCACTTACCGATAATTCGAATTGAGCTGCACATCGCCGATGGCCACGTTCTCGAACAATGTGGGACAGCAGGTCCAGCGCGCCCAGTAGAAGGTGAAGTCACTCGAGTCGTAATGCTCGGTGAAGCGGCACTTGAGCACCAGATCGACGCCCTCACGCGTGTCCAGCGAATCGTCCCCGGAGATCAGGCCAATGGAGAGCCATAGGTGACCTGGAATGAAATGGTAGACCTTTTAGTGCACAGCAAAAAATTAAAATTATCGTTCTTTAAATGCTAAAAACAACAATCTCAGTAAAAAAAAAATGGTTTTTCAAAACCTAACCCATCAATTGTATATTTTTTAGTTTACTACCTCTGTACTACCGGCTATCCTGTAACTACAATTCAATTACCCTGCGCAAATTCGTAGAGTTTGCGTTCATTTAATTAACAACAAAACCCGTCGAAATCCAGTACAAAAATTCATAAAATAACACTGATATATACCTGCTGCTGGACTGATTTGATTTATTTGTTCGGTATTATGAACGCAGCAGGGCAAAAACGAAAATCAATATTACAAACACTCCTTGTACAAAAAAAAAATAGAAAATCAACGAAGCTCCAAAAAAATGAGATAAAAAAACGACTGGTATTGTACAACTCATGGAAATTGTAAATCTCTACCACAAAAATGAATAATTCACGCGCAACACCAACCATAACAGAATGGACAGGGAAGTGAAACAACTGCATTCAAATTGGTTTGTGTTCCCGAAAAGGATTTCGAATAGATTTTGGAGTGATGTACTGTAATCATTTTAAGCAAATTTTAGTAAAAGTTCTATGTTAACTTAGAAGTGTCAGTTAGTCATTTATAGGAAGTATTTTTGCATAATTGGTAGACAAATAAGTTTTCCCAAAAACAGTTCCAATCAAAAATTTCATAGATTTGGGGTTAGAGGGAAAATTAAACTTTGAAGCTCTTACTGGCCGCATTGTGGTCGCTTAACAGTTTGAGAAGCACCGGTCAAAAAAAAACTAAGAACGGTGCGCCGTTTAGTTTCTATATTTCGTGATTGTGGGAGTATTTATGTGTGTGAGTGCTAGGTTTGAGTGTGTGTGTTCAGCTAAATGGAGCAAATGGTCGAGTGGACGCCATTGGGTCGAGTGGATAGGGGGCGTAGTACGGGAAGTAGTGGTTAAGGGAGGTTGTTTGCTCATGCAGCGCTTAGTTTTAATTTGTCTGCCTGAATTTTAGTTTTTTCTGTGTTTCTGCTTTTTATATCCTGCGCTCTCCTTGTTTTTTCACTCCGCTCAATTTTCATGTATTTTGTTGGAGAAGCAAATCTGTTTTTTGTGCAATTCCCTACCATTCCAGAATGTGTATGTTTTGTGGATATTTTTCACTAGCTCTCCACTGTTACGCTTCGTTTTTTCCGATATATCCCGTATATTATACAGCTGAATAAAAATAAAAACAAAAGGATGGCCAAAGCAACAGCTTTATTGTGTTGAGATTTTCGGAATATATATAAAACATATAAACAAACTCAATGCACTGTATGTGGTTGAATTTTAAATTGAGCTGCCATCGCTCAAATGTATGCTGCACTTTTTATTTTCGGCAACTGCATCCCCTTTTTTCTGTTTACATCTTTTTTAATTGAATGATGTATAGGATTTTATCCAGCCCCGCTTACAGATGCTGTAATTAACAATTTCTGTCCATTGGCCGGCATAAAAAGCGGTTAAAATATTTATAAATAAAATAAAAACCTTGTCGGCCTTGTCGGTTTATTTGCTTTTGTAGGACGCGTGTTTCGTTGATTTTCTTGGCAGTAATTTTAAAATCAACTTGACAGATTAATATAACCTTTATTATAGTATATATTTTCATTTAAAAACAAAGTGTATATAAAATTTCTCAAAATAAACTCTTTAAACTATTATTCACAAGTCACCAGCTATCTGGCTTAATCACACCACTTTGCACACAATTTTCCAACAACTTCTAATCAGGGGAATTTACAATCCAAATCAAATCAATTAGATGTAAAAATCCCAGTTCGATCATTGAAGGCAATGTGAAATTTCAGCAAAATCAACACCGGTGGAGAGCAAATCATGTTTAACATTTGCTTTAGCTACCGATTTACATATTTCCATCCAAATAATTATGACTACAAGGTCACTTTTCCCAATGGGGGCTTTCGGCTATATTGCAGTGACCACGCCCCCACTCGCCCATTTGTGCATACGTAAGCATGATATGGATATGCATACATTCGTATACTGCCATATAGATTTCATTTGGGTTATATAAGTTGATTTTGGAAACAGACAGACTGCTGGAAGGGCATGGGTGTGGAAATTACCATAAGCAAGTCAAAAGAAAAACACTTTTTTGGGCCAGACCTCGAGGTTAAAGTTTTTTTTTTCCGGTACTTCGCAGAATTGTATTTATATTTTTAGTAATTTTCTCTGACCGTAAGGCAGACGCTGTATTTTGCAATTATTTAAACAAGCTTTTGCAATCTGATGGATTTTAAAATGTAAATTAACTTTGTTTGCATACAAAAGTTTTCCATCACAGTTTGCCAGCCATTTTTGGGTAAAAACTTATTTCTCCCCCCTTTCATATACTATATGGAGTGTGTGTGTATTTTGTAATAATTAGCCATCATTAGAGTTTCGGTAAAAGTTTTACTTCGTCTCGCTTTTCCTGGCGGCTTTATGAATTTTTCAATTGTTCCCTCTTCGCTCCGGCACGACAACTGAAAACTTTATCTCCACTCCGTTCAGTTGAGTTGAGTTCAGCTCCGAAATGCTTAAACATTCATAAATGCAAGTGCACACATCTCACTAGCACTTTTCAAGGGGGGGAGTGTTACGAAAGAGGGTAACGGGTTCGTTTGGGCCAAAAAGATGCCAAAGCAAAAGTCAAGTCTGGCCAAATGCAACCAAAACAAAACCCCAAAGCAAACAACAAAAAACTTTACACACATTTGTAAGCAAAAAAAAGTGCAACTTTTTTAACTCTTGTTTTAGTTTTATTTTAGTTTTTTTTTTTTTTAGTTTGGTTGGCTGTGGTAGCTTTTTTTGTTGCGTGAGTTTGACTTTGTTTTGGGTCGACGACGCCTTGACTTTATAAACACAAATGGCTAAGGAAGTCAAAGAAATGATTTGGAATTTTAATGAAGTTCAAATGTTCTTGGCTCTTGCAGAGGAATGTGTTGAAAATAAAGAATAATTACTTTTAATAAAATCTAAAATCCATAGCAATTATCTAAGAAGTCATTCCGAATGACTTATTCCCCCTCTAGTGAGTTCAAATATGCAACCGAAAGTGTAATGCACTCTGGTAACCATTTCCCCTGAAGCAATTCCGGTATCCTTTGCCCCCAAAAAACCCTTACTTAAGACTCATAAAACATCCAACACTTCCACATCATTTTCTGGCGGTGTCTGCTTGACTTGTTTGTAATTATTTATTTCGCATAAAGTGTGGAAGACTTCTGTGCGTAGCGAAGAGTTATAGCATTTATGTGGGCATTGTGTGTGCATGCAGTGTGTTGTCTAGAGTTTTTAAAACAGATTTCATGCTACAACGCCGACATCCATGCAACGAGTGGTATGGGAGGATGAGTGAGGAAAATGTTTTTCCGAGCAATGCATCTAATGTGTGCTCATGTGTATGCTTCTCTATGTGTGTGTATTACACTTAAAACAAGCTGCTCGGCTCGTTTGCTTGTGGCTTTCCTTGATGTTGAGACAACCCCTGACTCACTGACTCACCTCTCCTCTCCACACTCTCTACACCATCTCCCTCAAAATATTCCTTCGGCTTTGTCCAGCTTTTGCTTTTCTTTCAGCTTAATGCGAATTTCTGCTTTTAACAACAGCCATTGTTGTTGCTGAGCGGCAGTGTGTGGTGTGTGGGTGGGTGTGGCATAAATATAATATGTAGTCTCGCCGCCTGGCATTGTTGTTGTAAAATATATTACTTTTTAACCTCGGAGTTGCTGAAGTTTCTTGGCTCCATATCCCCCTGCATCTGTTTGTAATTTTTACTCATAACAATTACAACAATAGCAATTGCCGTCTGAAAATCAACTACATATATGTATTTGAGTGTATTTCTGTCATGGTCGTAGCTTAAGACTTGAAAGGGGATTAAATCTAGTATAAGTTACTTGGAATCTGGGCAGGTTTTGGGCTTTACGACAGCTAGGAAGTGCACTTATGGTTTTTAAAGATTCGGGCTGGGAGTAATAGTTTTTGGGTTCACAATTGTGATGCAATTTCGTAATGGCTTTTGGGGAAGTGTTGGCTAAACATTTTTATTTTCAGAGGTATACCATAATGCAAACCATAAATAGGTGTATACTTTTTTATAAATGTACTTAAAATTTAAATTTCCACTTAATAATTTGCCCCTCTTTGACCACATCCTTGTTGGCCCATTCAAGTTTATGACTGGCTCTGTGTTCCATGTAATGTGTTGCTGACATGCGCTAAGTTGTTGCGGTTGTTGATGTTGCTGTTGCTGGTGTTGCTTCTGTTGCTGCTATGCCCTAATGCCATAAGTCTTTAGTGCCGCTCTCAAAGCGACTGGGAAGAGCCTTTGTCGGCAGGATAAGAACTGGCTGAAGGAGTACACATACATGTATATAAATACAAACATCTCCTTGGGTTCAACATATGGCTGTTTATACGCTCAGCAACACACTGCAGCTGCATCTCCAGCAACTGCAACTGCCACCGCCACTGCAACATGAGCTCTCTGACAATCAGACGAAGCTTCTCCTTTTGTGACAAATATTTACCACACATAAGCCATAATAAGCGATACAGGGAAATAAAATGAATGGCAATTGGTCCGCCAGTCGATCGAAAAAAGAGCAAACAAGCCAACAAAGGAGGCAACTGCAATTTAATAACACATCCTGCGGATTTTTAAGAGTCTCCAGCCACTGAGACATCTCATTAAGAGGTCGACAATATGAAACATTTTGCAAATTAACTGCAAACGTTGCGTATGCGTAATATGCGCCAGAGCCAGGTATTTGCTTAGTCTGCTGCAGTACAAGTTGGAAAATGGACTGAAAATGGGTTGAAAGTGGCAAGTGGAATGTGGAAAATCTGACTATCTGATGACTAAGCAAGGTAGAGACCGGAAGTGAAATAAAAAAAAGGGGGAAGGCCGATAGAATCCAACAAGTAATGCT